AATATTATCGCGCGCACGTGAGTCAGGGATTGCGCGCGCCTTATTGTTTCTCCATTCTTCCCGAACAGTAGTTTTACGACGCCAACCAAGCCTTCGTAACCCAACTTTCCCAACCTTGTATTATATACCTCCTGATTACCTCCGCGCCTCACCCATTTTGCCGTATATATATATATATATATACATATGTATCGGCTTATATTATATGTAGGGCGCTTAAAGATGTTCCAGGTGCTAGTAAAATATTCAATAAGCGAGATTACTCCTATCCTGTAACGATTTTACACGATACTCCTCGAGCAACGATCAAGGCGCGTTCGCACTTTCCGTATTCTCGATAATTCGCGTTTCATCGTGTACGATACCTCGGTGGGGGAAGGGAATATATCGATCATTTCGAGCTTAATTCGTTCTTAATTAATAAACACTTTCGTTGATCTAGAAGGGGGGATTCGAGATTAAAACGGATTGAGGGGCGAATTTTGGCGACTTGGTCGAGCTAAAATAAATCGATTTATCGGGGAATAAGGGGTAATAAAGAGACGAGGAGGAGGCGAGTCGGTTCGCAGGTTGGCCTAGAAAATCTGTTTTCCACCGCGCTTTCGAACCTTTCGGAGTTCATCGCGATTCTCGGCGGCGCGTGAGAAAGTGGTCGCATTTACCCTCCCACGGAAGATATTCCTTCGGATTCTAGCCGTCGTGGCGCGATCCATTCGTAACGCCAAACCATCTTTCCTCGCCATACCTCGCCCCGATCGATCCATACCCGAGTCTAGATTCGACACCATCCGTTCCACGTAAATCCTANAAAAGAGGATGTTCGAAACGAGATACCAACCATCCTTCCTTTCTTCCTTCCTTTCTTTCTTTCTTCCTTTCTTCCTTCGTTCGACGAAAGAGGGAGGCGAAAAAGGGAGGGAGGGGGAAAAAGTTTAAACGGTCGATCGCCGTCTCTCTTTACGACTTAACTTACGACCGCCACTTTCTTTTTTTCTCTCTCTCCCCTCTTCCGTCACACCTAGCAGGCGTGACTTAAGCCTCACTTTGGAAATTGCACGGCGCAGGGGGATGGCGCCATGTGCCGCTCGAACGACTCACCGGCCGAGCCTTCCTAAAACCCTTCCCGGGGATGGAATGAGTTTTCCGGGCGATTTAGTCAGGTATTTATTTGCTCCTCCCTCTCCTCGCGGTTCCCCAGCTCGGAGAGGGGACCGTCTTCTTGGAAATAACGTCGCGGTACCACTCGCTACTCCCTTTCCTCCCCCGTCCACGGTTCACGACTCCTGCCTCTTTTATCGTTCTTTCGGACATCTTTGCTTCCCCAATCCTTCCCTTCCCTCCCAGAGGCCCGTCGTTGATTCGTCCTCCCGGAGGGACGGGGAGAAGGGTGGAAGGACGCGGAGGAACGCGGTGCAAATTGCCGCCTCATCTCCAGCTATCTCCAAGCTTTGGTGGTGGGGGAAGAAGTGGAGGAAAATAGTGTCCCGTGAATTTCTATCCTCCATTCGCGGGGAAGTCACGTAGCCGTGGCCCGTCAAATAGAAACAGAAATCGATCGTCGGACGACGGGCGACGATTTACGGCCGCCG